AGGACATGTACATAACCTTCACAACTACGACAACTACTACTACAACTAACCCATCTCTTTGGGAAGGACCTACTTCCACTGGGGAATCCCGCCCACCGGTGAATTTGCCCTCGTCTGCTTCACCTGACGTTACTATATAAGCGCCAGGATTCTTTTTTTCTGCTTCAGAATCTCCACGACTATGGTGCTGTTCGCACCTACTCCTAGGTTGAGGGACTGATTACCTCATCTTCTGTACATAGTTCTACTGTCTTCAAGTTATGTCCTGGAATTTGTATTGATAAAGCCACTGGATGGCGAAACGTCCCACAATAAAGATACCCAGATGTTGCACATGTGTCTTACTCTCATCTTGTCGGTATTTTTATACCATTCGTACACAACTTGTCAGACACTGCAACATCATGGGAATCTTAATTCTGAGGACATGTACATAACCTTCACAACTACGACAACTACTACTACAACTAACCCATCTCTTTGGGAAGGACCTACTTCCACTGGGGAATCCCGCCCACCAGTGGGAAATTTGCCCTCGTCTGCTTCACCTGACGTTTACTATATAAGCGCCAGGATTCTTTCTTCTGCTTCAGAATCTCCACGACTATGGTGCTGTTCGCACCTACTCCTAGGTTGAGGGACTGATTACCTCATCTTCTGTACATAGTTCTACTGTCTTCAAGTTATGTCCTGGAATTTGTATTGATAAAGCCACTGGATGGCGAAACGTCTACAATAAAGATACCCAGATGTTGCACATGTGTCTTACTCTCATCAAAGTATATGGATACATATGCAGACAACTTGAATATATTAAGCATATGGAAAGGAAATTGAATAATGGAAATAATGTATATAAGAGTTAATATGACTCACAAAATCGTAATGACACGATTGGAAACAAACCATACCACGGGTGAGGATAGAACCCACAATCAGAGAGTCTCAAAACTCCAGACCGTCGCGGTAGCCACTGGACCAGTGGCTAACACGACGGTCTGGAGTTTTGAGACTCTCTGATCACAGGTTCTATCACCGCCCGTGGTATGGTTTATGTATATAAGGGCCATGTAATGTAAATGAGAAAAAGTGGAAATAGGCCAGATAAATGCACCTACCATCCGACTTATGACCTGCTCGACTTACGACCACTCGACTTACGACCGGTGTTTTTTATGCCAAATTTCTGGGAAATAAACAACTATTTGTCTTGTACACAGTGTTTATCCTAAACCTTACAGTATAAAATACAGTACTAACAGCATAAAAAGTAAAGTAAAACATGAAATACCAAAATAAAACACTAAAATAAAGTCATTACAAAAATGTGATGTTGATATTCAGTAGTAAAGTTCGACTTATGACCGGTTTCTCGGAACCAAACTCGGTCGTAAGTCAGATGGTAGGTGTACAAATAGTTATACTGTACTGTACAATACTGAAAGTGTTAAAATAGAAAGGAATACAAGAAGATCACAATTACAGTAGTGAGAAATTCATGGCACAATGGCTATTCATAAAATATCCTTTGTATGCTGTACATGGAAACATAATAAATGTTAAAGAAAATGTTCACACCATACATCATTATTAAAATAGGGATAAATAGCTGTATTTATGTTATCTGTATGAAAGAAATATAAAATTGAAAAATCAGAAGACATGTTACAAAATGGCTCCTAGAGATAAGAATTATAAGTTATGAAAAAAGATTAAAAACACAAATGATGCCCTCATTAGCTGATAGCAAGAAATAGAGGAGGAAAAGAAAAGATGTGGAAAATGACAATGGGGAGCTCTAATTGAATTGTGTATAGAAAGAAGTCTGGACATAGGTAATACATATTTCAAGAAAAAGACCCCTCTGAAGGAGGGGTGTTAATGTTGCAGTTTTAAAAACTGTAGTGTAAAGCACCCTTCTGGCAAGACAGTGATGGAATGAGTGATGATGAAAGTTTTTCTTTTTCGGGCCACCCTGCCTTGGTGGGAATCGGCCAGTGTGTTAATATAATATAACATATGTTACATGATGAAGTGTGCAATGACAGTAGTTTACTAGACAATGTATTGGTGGATAAAAGGTTGATTGGTAGACCTCTGGGAGAGTAAAAGACAGATGGAGCAGAAGAATGGCATTAGTGGGTAAGAGAGAAGTGCAAATTAATGAATTAAAGAAGAGGACAGTTAGTGGGCAGAACAAGCAAGGATAGAGTAGGACAAGGTGACCAAGGGGTATAAATCATGGGGATGAAGGGAGGAGGAGAGGTCATCTCAGGAAGAGTTGGAGGGAGGGGTTGTGGGAGATTTTAAGTGGCAGGTATATGTGAGCAAGTCAGATCAGAGCAAGGGAAGACAAATGGTTTATAGAGTTTGATGTGATGTTGTCTTATGAGCAAGGCAACATTTATGAAGGGATTTACTGAAACTGGTTAAATGAATTTGAGTCCTGAAGGAGGAATAAGGATATCACAGTTGAGAAGGTCAGTTGATGGTCATGCACTTCTGGAAAAACAGCAATGAACGAATGATAGTGAATGTTTTTCTTTCTTGGGTCGCCATGCCTTAGTGGGAGATGGCCAGTTAAAAACATGTAAATGAAAACATATTAGTGCCAAAAGGATGTTATTATGTATTTCTTCACAAATACATAGTAACAGACTGTGTCGGAAAGTGATCCAGAAAATAGGAAGTGCTATATCCAATGGAAACTTTAAAATGCTGTATTACATGAAAAACTAACTTGAATGACAAACAAAGTTACAGCACTGTTTTGAAGAGTCTCAAGTTCAAAGGGATGTGATAAAAAAAAAATCAAAAGAGGAAAATAGAAGTTTACTATAGAATACAACTCTTAACCCCTTCAGTGTTGGAAGCCCAAAAATTAAAAGTGCTGATAATGTCGGCATTTAAAAAAAAAAGAAAAACATCTGAAATAGTCGAGAATTATTTTCTGAAAATACAAAATTTGATGGAAAACTTAGGGAATTATGTAGGTGCAAAGTTAGTAGTCTGAGAGCAATTTATGCATTAGCAATTTTACCCAATCTGAGTCACATTTTAAGCCAATTCCATTGCTCAATTCAGTCAAACTCTTAGCTATTTTCCTAATATGCTTTCCATTCTATCGATTGAGGACAAGAAAACACTCATTCAACTATAAGAACTACCCTATAAAATGCAAAGAAGTCAGTAATTTGGCCAATTTTACAAAAAAAAAAAAAAAAGTTTAAAAACAGTCCAAAATAAAAATTAGATGTTACAGGTACTAATGCAAGTTCCTCTGTTCATTAATCATATCCTCACTCTTCTCTTATATTACACTTGCCTTTTATTTTGAATTCATCATCACACACGAAAAAATTGAAGAGTTACCCTATTTCTTGGATAATACAATATAACCAGGAATGATGGGGCATGGTTTACAGCATCACAATAACTGAACCAGACCTAGTAAAATTCCATAAGACGGGGAGGGGGGGTTCAGGGGATGCCTTACCCGTCCTGAGGAAAATCGAATACAGCTGCTCCTCACTTAATGACGGAGTTCCGTTCCTAAGACCATGTCATTAAATGAATTCATCACTATGTGAGGAACATACTGTAATGGTAGTGAGTTTGTGTCAACCATCTCTGATATTGTTTTAATGTCACCCTTGCACCATTTATAACATTTCAGGTATATTTTTAAATGTTTATACAGTAGTGTACCGTATATTGAAATAAATAGAATAGAGGAAATCAGCTCTAATATACATTATTTAGGTATGAATATTGGTCAGAGAGCCCATTGTAAGTGCGAGGCGTTGGTAAATGAGTACGTCGCTAAGTGAGGAGAGGCTGTATATATATGCTACTTAGAGCCCAATTTCAAGCTACTTTTGATCCTGAAGCCAATAAAAATCATCTCTATTTCAGCAGTATGTCTTCTTTTCCATCAAATGATGCTGAGAAACAACAAAACCATGAAAACCATTCTAGAAAACACCTCAAGTTGCAATTTTAAACCAAATACAAGGTCAGAGGTTAAGTTTTCCAATCATGCACCCTGTGGGACAGTATTCTTTCTTTAATAATAAGCACTCACTGCACAGTCTTTCTCTCATGTCTGTGCCAAAATTTACCGCTCACAGCTTATCTGAGTAAGCTGAGCTCAAACATGGATGTATGTAAGCAACCCTGGTATCAATAATGTATCAATAATACAAGAGAGTGAAAGGGTTAATTGGATAAATATATGTAGTGCAGCAGTAAGTTTCTGTATACACCATTACATCATTAAACAAAAAGAGATACCAGTATTTGAGAGGCACAGAAACTAAAGGAAATACAATAAATAGAAAAATGTAAACTAAGAGTTATCTTAGGCAGGGTTGGAGGGAGGGGTTTATGTAAAAAAGGTCTTGAGTCCTAAGAGCTTGGACATGCAGCAGCTTGTCCAAGCTCCTAGGGCTCCCTGAATCTCTTCACAAATGTTACCTTGCTCATGCTCCAACAGTGTGAGCAAGGTAACATTTATGAAGAGATTCAGGGAAACCATTTAGCTAGACTTGAGTCCTGGAGGTAGGAAGCACAATGACTGCACTCTGAAGGAAGGGTGAGGATGTTGTGGTTTAGAGGGTCATCTGACCTGTGATGTGAATGAATGAATGACAGGGTGTTTTCTTCTTTATCAGGGGTCACCCTATCTTGATGGGAGATGGTCGGAGTGTTAGAAAAAAAATTCATGTGTGAGAAGCAGACCACAGAGTGTAAACCTACACTCGGAGATAGGCAGCCAATAAAGATTATCATTGTGCATTTGATACTGTAGATTCTATTCCCTTCAAAGAGGTTGCCTTATTGCTAGTGAAGGGCTCTTGATCCAAGAAAGGAAGCTACATTTCCCTTCTTTGGATCAAACCTGATTACCTCCTATTCCCAGGCACTTGATAAATTTTATCAAAACTGTACTAAGCTAAAATACAATTTTACCATAAAAAATATCATCATTGTATACTTACGCAAACACAGGTGTAGGTCCCAATGTTACCATGTCTGATTCTTTAGCGCCTCGACACTCAATAAAACGCAAGGTCCTGGCCTCTGTCCCTACAAATATTTATTTACTTACATATTATGCTCTTAATACTGCTGATATAAAAATATTATACATACTGTATTTATATAAAAATAGACAATAAAGCATCCATACATGTAACTTTTACCATTAAGAACTGCACAAGACACTGCTACATCTTACTTTCTTTAGTACAGATGTATCCTACTTGATGCTAGGATTGCATTACTTAAAAAAACACATGTTAGGCCATAATATAAATAAATAGGCATAGGAAAAAAAAATCTGCCCTGAAATATATGTTACAAATTGATAACTTACAAAATAAATATCATTTAATGCAAATCTGAAGAAACTGAACATTATTATTACAGTACCTGCCAAATATAGGATGGCAAACTGAGGTCTGACAATGAAAGTTAATAGAATTTTAGAGTTATTGGATGGATGAGAGAAGCAGGATCATATGCCTACAAATAGTCAAGAGAAATTAAGTGAAGATGTAGCTGAGGGAGGATTTACTATATCAAATACTATCTGGAAATCCAGGTAAATGCAATCTGCCCATTTGATTGTTAATGTAATTTCTATGACACCAATAGTAGCTTAACAAATCTGATGTACAGAGGAACCGCGGATTTCGTCTGGTGCAGATATTGTACAAATCGGATTTTGACCACTTTTCTGGGCAAAATTTTACCCCAGGTTTCATGCCTCTGCTCAGAAATCATTCGCATCAGACGTGTCTGCCTGCCAGAGAATCGGCTGCTCACACGCATGTGACTCAGTCTGCCTCTGTCAGTTGTTCAGTGAGCAATACTCCGCCCATTCATCCGAAACACTGGTAGTAGAAGGAGGTAGTGATGGTGGTAGAGGGTGGCAGTGGTTGTGATGGTGGTAGAGGGTGGCAGTGGTTGTGATGGTGGTAGAGGGTGGCAGTGGTTGTGATGGTGGTAGAGGGTGGTAGTGATGGTGGTAGAGGGTGGTAGTGATGGTGGCAGAGGGTGGTAGTGATGGTGGCAGAGGGTAGTAGTGATGGTGGCAGAGGGTGGTAGTGATGGTGGTAGAGAGTGGTTGTGATGGTGGTAGAGAGTGGTTGTGGTAGAGGGTGATAGTGATGGTGGTAGAGGGTGATAGTGATGGTGGTAGAGGGTGGTAGTGATAGTGGTAGAGGGTGGTAGTGATGGCAAACAATCAAAGATGTTGAGAAGTTGCTGGCAGTGTGGATCAACAAAAAACAGTTAGAAGGAGATAGTGCTGTGAAGGTGATAATTTGCGAAAAGGCAAGGCAGTTGCATGTGGAGCTTGTAAAGAATGTGCCAACGAGAGTCTTCAATAAAGGTAAAAGTGATTTAAGTGTTCATTTATCCATTAAAATTAGTGCTTATATTTATTTCTCATTGTTTTCTGTATGTAAAACTATAGCTATTCTCTATAAAATGTATTTTTTGTTAACATTTTTGTGTCTGAAATGGATTAATTGTAGTTACATTACAGTGGACCCCTAGTTATGTTAATTAATCCATTCCAGAGAGTGTGACTAAAGCCGAATTTGACGATATTTGAATTCATTTTCCCCATAAGAAATATTGTTTTTTTTTTTTAATGTAAATCCAATTAATCCGTTCCAGACACCCAAAAAGTATTAAAAAAAAAAAAATTTTTTTACATGAAATATACATTTACCTACACAGAAAACAATGAGACATGAAGAATAAAACAATAATATGACACTTATCTTTATTGAAGGTTCTACTTAGTGCATGGAAGATGGGAGGAAGGGTGAGGATGGAGGAGTTACTATTGTTTGGAAGGGGAATCCCCTTCCACAAAGACTTCCGGTACCAAGTCCTTTTCTGGGGTTACTTCCCTTGGAAGTTGACGTGTCGGCAGATGGATTTATGAAGGATGAGGTTAATCATAGAATTGATGAGGGAAAAAAGGTGAGTGGTGTGTTGAGGTATATGTGGAGTCAAAAAACGTTATCTATGGAGGCAAAGAAGGGAATGTATGAAAGTATAGTAGTACCAACACTCTTATATGGATGTGAAGCTTGGGTGGTAAATGCAGCAGCGAGGAGACGGTTGGAGGCAGTGGAGATGTCCTGTCTAAGGGCAATGTGTGGTGTAAATATTATGCAGAAAATTCGGAGTGTGGAAATTAGGAGAAGGTGTGGAGTTAATAAAAGCATTAGTCAGAGGGCAGAAGAGGGGTTGTTGAGGTGGTTTGGTCATTTAGAGAGAATGGATCAAAGTAGAATGACATGGAAAGCATATAAATCTATAGGGGAAGGAAAGAGGGGTAGGGGTCGTCCTCGAAAGGGTTGGAAAGAGGGGGTAAAGGAGGTTTTGTGGGCGAGGGGCTTGGACTTCCAGCAAGCGTGCATGAGCGTGTTAGATAGGAGTGAATGGAGACGAATGATACTTGGGACCTGACGATCTGTTGGAGTGTGAGCAGGGTAATATTTAGTGAAGGGATTCAGGGAAACCGGTTATTTTCATATAGTCGGACTTGAGTCCTGGAAATGGGAAGTACAATGCCTGCACTTTAAAGGAGTGGTTTGGGATATTGGCAGTTTGGAGGGATATGTTGTGTATCTTTATACGTATATGCTTCTAAACTGTTGTGTTCTGAGCACCTCTGCAAAAGCAGTGATAATGTGTGAGTGTGGTGAAAGTGTTGAATGATGATGAAAGTATTTTCTTTTTGGGGATTTTCTTTCTTTTTTTTGGGTCACCCTGCCTCGGTGGGAGACGACCGACTTGTTGAAAAAAAAAAAAAAAAAAAAACTTCCCTTCTTTGTTTTTAATGCCACTAGACCAGCTTGAGAGTCACTGCACATCTGTGGCACTAAATATATGTCAAGAGAGCTCTGTTTCTGGCATCTCTTTAAAATTTCCCTAAAATGGGACAAGACATTGTCATTGTACATGTTGCAGACATGGCTTGCAACAGCTTTGTTAGGGTGATGTTTCTCCACAAATCTTTCCATGCTACTCCACATTGCACAAATCTCCACTATTACCACCCTCTACCACCATCACAACCACTACCACCCTCTACCACCATCACCACCACCCTCTACCACCATCACTACTACCTCTACCACATCACTACCACCCTCTACCACATCACTACCACCCTCTACCACCATCACTACCACCCTCTACCACCATCACTATCACCCCTCTACCACCATCACAACCACTACCACCTTCTGCCACCATCACTACCACCATCACAACCACTACCACCCTCTACCACCATCACAACTACCCTCCACTACCATCACAACCACTACTATCACTACCACCTTCTACCACCATCACAACCACAACCACCCTCTACCACCATCACTACCACCCTTTGCCACCATCACACACATTCCTCTGAGTCATTAAGCTTAATTCCTTATTTTTTAGTAATTTATATATGTATTTCTTTTTGCAAATGTATATTAGATTTAGTTCTAACTCGCTCATATCTACTAAGATACTGCATTTTCTTTCAAAGTCTCCTTCTGCTCCTCTTCTTCTATTGGTATATTATATTCAATTATGATTTGTCCTTATCTTTGGCTAGTTTCTGGTCTGGAGAGTTTGATAAATTTATGATGATGTTTTCCTGTAAAGAAATTCAACCCTGATGTGTTTGGAAAGTTTACTCAAATTAATAGGATGTCCTTCCATACTTGTTATAAGAAAAGGAACATGCCCTCCACCACTGAACATTTTTAGTTTAATCATGGGAAAGCTCTAAATCCCTAGGGGTCATACAGCACATAGGAAGCATTCAGGTTCAATCTAAGGAAGGAAAGAATAAGTCTACATGTATTTCCTTTGGTCAAGAGCCCCTCGGTGGCATCAAGCCACTTCCCTTGAATAGACCCAACTACTGAACAGACATCCAGTCTTTTACCACATCAGCTGTGTACCCCAATGTAGGGTGACCCAAAAACTAATGTGCACTCACTATCACTCATTAAATAGCTGTCTTACCAGAAATGCACATACATAAGAATTTAATAACTCCCTAATCTGCAACATTCCCACTCAAAAACCATTCATCTCCATTCACTCCTATCTAACATGCTCACACATGCCTATTGTATGTCCAAGCCCCTTGCACACAAAACCTCTTACCCCCTCCCTTCATTCTTTTCTAGGACGATTCCTACCCCTCTTCCCTTCCACTACAGATTTATACACCTTCCAAGTCATCCTATTTTGCTCTATCCTCTCTAAATGACCAAACCAAGAAGAGGTTTATAACATAAAATACTACTTACATATTTCATCTATATCTACACCGTCCATTCCTTGTGAATTTTCATCACCCTGAGATTCATTCATATCTTGGGAATCTTCATCTTCATAGCCCTCACCCATGTTTTCATCTTCATCTATAATTCCATCCTCCTCTTCATCTTCATCTTCATCTTCCTCTTCTTCCTCCTCTTCCTCCTCCTCATCATCCTCATATCCTACCTCCATTCCATCCATCGATTGTCCTTCTTGGAATGCTTCATCTAGCACACTCCCTTCTTCAACAACTCCAGCTGCATTAATTTCTTCACCAACAGAAATTGGGAGTACAGAAGGAGGCATAGTGAGAAGTGCATCATGCATGGCAGCATAAAAGGGCCATGATGGAGGAGCTGCATCCTCAGGTTCTAGGGCAGGTTGGCTTAATTCCTATAGGAAATCATTGAAAAACACATTTCAGATTTTATTAGAATTTTAATTAGAACCCAATAAGTTAGAGAGGCAGTAGAAAACTTGAGCAAATAATGAGGGGTCATATATTCTACTTTATTGTGAGACAAAATATTGAGAATTATCAGAAAAAATCTATGCAGTCCAATAATATTACAATCCACTGCAGAAGAAGTGCATAAGATTAGAAAACATAAATCTAAAATAATCTTTAACCCTCAAACTGTCCAGACGTAGATCTACGTTTACGCATATAGCGCTCTGACCTTGATTTTCTCCATTTGAAAACATGTAAAAAATGTAGATCTACATTCGGAGTACTACACAAGCAAACGTAGATCTAAGTTTGGACAGTTTAAGGGTTAAAGATGTTAGCATAGTATTGACAGTCACTATGAAATATGCACATTATAACCAAGACTCACTCCATCACCATCTTGCCAGAGACACACCGATACTGAATACATACTACAGTTCGGTTGCCCCTCAAAACTGCAAATATCCCCACCCCTCCTTCAGAGTGCAGGCACTGTACAGTACTTCCCATCTCCAGGACTCAAGTCTGACTAACTGGTTTCCCTGAATCCCTTCACAAAATGTTACCTTGCTCACATTCCAACAGCTCAAGTCCTAAAAAACATTTGCCTCCACTCTTATCTAACATGCTCACACAAGTCTGTTGGATGTCCAAGCCCCTAGCACTCAAAACCTCCTTCATCCCCTATTTCTATCCCTACCTTAGATAACCCCCTACTTCCCTCCTTCCCCCCACCTCAAATTTATGTCTTCCAAGTTATCCTATTTTACTCCACCATCTATAAATATCCAAACCACAACATTCCCACCATTACCCTCTGAATACGATGTACTTTTGATAACCCCAAACCTTCATCTAATCTCCAAGCTCTAAGTTTTCTGTGTAATATTCACATACACAAACTCAACCTAATTAAGAACATTATGAACAGTCATATTTCAGTACTGAATAAAGATAAAGAGCACACACACACACCTTATACCTAGTTACAAGGGCATCCCAGTGTCTTCGTGCCTGGCTGGGGTTAACCTGTGCTGTTAAACCCAGTTCATCTATTATGGATCTGAAAGGAAATGTGTAGATTAATTACAAGACACTATCAATATAAATACAATATTTTTTAAACCATTCATCCAGGCAAAGCATTTAAATAACATTTATCAGTTACAATCATAACTAAGCTCTAAACCCACTAGGTTCATAATAACACAAGGTGCACAACTGAGCAAAATGTAGACAGCCTATGTTGAAGGCCCAGTTGGGTTCATATTTCGTGCCATGCTAGTGCTGCCATCTGTAGGCCTACCTAACTCAGTGTGAAACCATACAACCCCAGCCTCACTCTTCGACGGGCGGCCTACGAGATAACAGTTCCCCCCCCCCGGACTGGTTTCGGTACCCTTCACACTGCCTACCCACTGTGAACTTCATTTCTCCAAATAAAGTCGAAGTTAGTCAATGGCCGTATATCTCACCTGACTCTACACCTTTATTACATACCTTTATTGAAGGCTAATGCTGGCTTCTGGAAGATAGGGAGGAGTTAGTGTTTGGAAGGGGAATCCCCCTCCATAAAGACTTTAGGTACCAAAGCCTTCTCTGGGGTTACTTCCCTTCTTTGTCTTTTAATGCCACTAGGACCAGCTTCAGAGTCACTGGGCCCCTGTCTCACAAAACTGTCCAGAGTGCTCTGTTTCTGGCATCTCTTTAAGATTTCCCTGAAGTGGGGCAGGGTTTTGTCACTAAACATGTTGCAGATATGGCTTGTTTCAGCTTTGTCAGGGTGGTACTTCTTGACAAAACTTTGCACATCATTCCTCCTCCACCTCTGAAGCAAGTTCCTCAGTTGCAGTCTGTTGCTGTTCAAGTTGAAGCTCTTGCAGCTCTTCAGTGGTTAGCTCTTCCCTGTGGTCCTCCACTAACTCTTCCACATCCTTGCCACTCACCTCCAACCCCAGAGACTTCCCCAGTGCCATAATAGAGTCCACAGGGTCGGCAGGGTCAGAGTCAGCCTCAAACTGTTCAAAATTCCTCTCTTGGACACAATCTGGCCACAGTTTTCTCCAAGCAGAGTTAAAGTCCTAGAAGTCACTCCCTCCCAAGCCTTACATATAAGGCTTATGCAATGGAGGATAGTGAAGTGATTCCTCCAGAACTCTCTTAGGGGTCAACTGAGTGCCTGAGGTCACTTCAAAGCACCTTTGAAACACTGCTTTTGTGTAGAGTTTTTTGAAGTTAGAAATGATCTGCTGGTCCATGGGCTGGAGGAGAGGAGTGGTGTTAGGAGGCAAGGACTTCACTTTTATAAAATTTAAGTCCCTAAACACTTGGTCTTCCAAGTCTGGAGGATGTGCAGGAGCATTGTCCAGTACCAGGAGGCACTTGAGTGGCAATTTCTTTTCCAGGAGGCATTTTTTCACACTTGGGCCAAACACATCATTAACCCACTCTTCTAAAAAAAAGTGCCTTTTCCTCCTGGGTAATGTAGGTCCTGTTTGGCATTTTCTTCCAAGACAGGCCTGTTTTGTCACAACTGAACACTTGTTGGAGTTTGAATCCTTCAGCCTCTATGTACCCCTGAAATTCCTGCATGAATTTTTCAGCTGCACATCTGTCAGAACTTGCTGCCTCACCATGCCTTACAACACTGTGTATGCCACTATGCTTCTTAAATCTATCAAACCATCCTTTAGTGGCCCTAAATTCACAAACTGCAGCACTTGTTCCAGGCATTTTCTTTGCAAGATCCTCATGCAACTGCCTTGCCTTCTCACAAATAATCGACTCCACAACACTGTCTCCCACTAATTCTTTTTCCTTAATCCACAATAATAATAACTTTCTCATCTCTTCCATTATTGGTGGCCTTTGTTTAGTTAGAAAAATTACTCCTTTTGCAACATTAGCATCCATGATTTGTTCTTTCTTTGCCAGCATGGATGTAATTGTTGATTTATTCTTGCTGTACATCCAGGCAAGTTCCACCACCCTCATACCACTCTCAAATTTTTCTATCACTTCACGCTTAAATTCCATGGCGTTTCTCACTTTCTTTACCACAGGAACTTTCTTTGGAGCCATGGTTACTTATTTCACAGTTGTCACTGCAAAAATAACACAAACTACAATGGGAAATAAGCAAAATGTTTGGATGTATGAGCAGGAGGTTCCCTAGCCACCGAGAGACACAGCCAAACTGACGTGCAAGTGGCCCCAGCCGGCGGATGAATGTCCCAAACGGCCGATAACCAGGCGCCGAAAAAATGGCCAATCACCAAGTTGGCCGATAACAGAACCGGCCGATAACTGGGGGTCCACTGTAATATAAAAAAAACACCCAAAAATGTGAAGAAACATGAAATAGTTTACAAAGAAGTTCAATGGAGTTTTGCACTGTGATAGCTGTGGGGAGACTGACTGCACATGTTCTGGCAGATTGTGTTTGTTTGGTTGAGTGCCATGCAAACGGTCAACTACCGAGCATTTTTTTTTTACCAAACAAAGTGTTCAAGTACCAAATTGTTCGAGTAGGGAGCTGTTCAAGTACTGAGGTTCCACTGTAAAAAAATAAATATCTTTATTTCTACATGTACAAGGTATACAGGCCTAGTTGACATCAATGACATACTACTATACAGAAAGCCGCTCTTTATGCAGAGCATTTCAAGCAAATTAGGTCAGTATTGTCCCAGGATGCGACCCACACCAGTCGACTAACACCCAGGTACCACTTTACTGATGGGGAACATAGACAACCGGTGTAAAACAAAGAACTCTTACAATCACTGTGTATTACAAGCTATTCCTGTCAGGGGATACCTAATAAATGACAAAACCCACTCATATATTTTCCATATTAAATACCACTTAATGTCTCATAAAATTCCAGTTTGTTAGTAATTTTGTACTGTACCCTCAAATTAGCTTATCTCAGTCATTTTAAAATTTGACACATATATGCCCTGTTTCTGATTAGGATTGATATTAGATTTTAGTAACCAATTTTTTTTATGTTTAACCCTTTCAGGGTTGAGAGGCCCTCTCCTGAACTTGTTCTCAGGGTCGAAAATTTTTGGAAAAAAAAATTATTTTTTTCTTATGAAATGATAGAGAATCTTATCTCGATCATAATGACACCAAAAGTATGAAATTTGATGGAAACCTTACAGAATTACGCTCTTGCGAAGTAAGCGGTCTCGACAATGTTTATGCACCAGCGATTTCGCCCACTTTGAGCCCTATTTTTGGCCAATTTCAGTGTACTAGTCGACAAAAATCATATCTATTTCGCTAGAACTCCATTTTTTCTATCGAATGAGTACAAGTAACCACCAATTTACCAATTTCAAGTATCCAATAAAGTGGTCAGAAATTGTCAATTTTTGCCAATTTCACACAAATTTCAGAAGATGCCAATTTCCAAATAGGGTCCAGAATAAGCAAAACAGACATTCCTGGCACTAAAATAACATTTTCTCTGTTCTTTAGTCATGTCTCCAGGCCCCTCTTACATCTCTTTTGCTTTCCACTTTGAATTTTTACTCTCACAAAAAATAGAAGATTTACTGTTATGCAGACTACTGCATTAGTTTAGAAATGGTGTATAAATGTTATAAATAATATCAGTGCACTTGTGAAAGAATATCAGACTCACCAGTTGACATGTATTGGACACTTGGCATGATTTGTTTACTTTTGAACTTTGATAAAAATCTAACATTTCTGCTATTTAGAGCTCAATTTCAAAGTACTTTTCATTATGAAACCAATCAAAATCATCTCAATTTCTGTAATATGTCTTCCATTCTATAAAATGAGATCAGAAAAACTAGAATACAATCATAAATACCATACAAAAATACACTGCAAGTCGCTGTTTTAATCAAAAACATGGTCGGAGTTTTGTTTTTCTCATTATGCACTGTGTGCTGCAGGATTTTTTTTATACTGTACACACTGACCACATAGACCCATTCTTTCATATGTCGGCCTACCAGCTTTCTCTCATTAGATTTGAAGACGCTAGAATTTAGGCGTTCCAGTATGTCAATAACTAGTACGTCGGAAACCCTGAAAGGGTTAATAGCCTAATAGAAAAAAAGAATAAATGGTAATGAATTCAACATACATTAAAGGTTTACCAGACTTACTGAAACACATAATCTGGAGTTTCATTACAGTGAATCTTTAGACGGGCTCTCCCTTGAATAAAGCAATACGTCTGCTCATCTGTCCCTGAAAAAAAAAAAAGATTCAGAAACAGATTTGTTAATAATGTAGCACATGCAATAATGTACCTCTGCAATACTTTTATATCAACAGCACTAATAAACACATGAGGAGAAGGAACAATTTAAAACCCATCCCAAAAAGTAGGTAAATTTTTTTTTACATGGGATGGGACGCGATACCAGAATTTTTGCTGATGTGAATACTATCAAAATTGACCAATACCTACCGATACCAGTATTAATACCAACACTATCAAAATTAGGCAATATTCACATACTCTGATACTAAATTTTAGGCTGATATTAATACCACCAAAATTAGCTGATACCCCAGTGATACCAATATTTGGCACACTCCTAAATTTTACATTAAATTTTTAATTCTTACTATTACTAATACTGTACATATGTTACTCAGAATTACAGAGGGGTGAGTAAACTGTACATATGTTACTCTGATTTACAGCAGGGTGAGTAAAATTAGTCACTTTGACTTTTTTTGGGTTATCCTAGGTTTCTACACATATGCTGCTATGTATGATAATTTATGTAACTGTATTTGTGTATACCTGAATAAACTTACTTATTCAATTAGAGATGAATGATTGAGCCCCTACCAATCCTTGTACGGACTCACCAATGCTTAGCATTTAACATTAATAATAACCAGATGTATTTCGGTTGCTGGGTGATCCAAGAAGCATATCCCTGTATTGTATAACCCATCCCCTGTACCTCAATGCAGACAATTGGAAGAGTGCAGAATGCAGCATAAGTTTATAATGCAGTTAAATATAAGCAATGCTTTCAGGAAACTTAATCAGTGGCACTCGATGTATGCACAAGGCTTATTCCTCTAAGAAAAAGGAGGAGTAGATGTAAAATAGAAAGAGACAGGCGCTCCCTTTACAGGCGACGGAAAAGAATAACAGAGCGGTTAAAAGAAGTCAATATATCTGAAATGCGTAGGGAGACTCTGGTCAGAGAAATAGCAAGCATTGAACTTAAGCTAAAAGAATCCTTTAGGAGTCAGGAATCGCGGGAAGAACTAAAAGCCATAAATGAAATCGAAAGAAACCCAAAGTATTTCTTCTCCTATGCCAAATCAAAATCGAGAACAACGTCCAGTATTGGGCCCCTACTTAAACAAGATGGGTCCTACACAGATGACAGCAAGGAAATGAGTGAGCTACTCAAGTCCCAATATGACTCAGTTTTTAGCAAGCCGCTAACCAGACTGAGAGTCGAAGATCAAAATGAATTTTTTATGAGAGAGCCACAAAATTTGATTAACACAAGCCTATCCAATGTTATCCTGACGCCAAATGACTTCGAACAGGCGATAAATGACATGCCCATGCACACTGCCCCAGGGCCAGACTCATGGAACTCTGTGTTCATCAAGAACTGCAAGAAGCCCCTATCACGAGCCTTTTCCATCCTATGGAGAGGGAGCATGGACACGGGGGTCGTCCCTCAGTTACTAAAAACAACAGACATAGCCCCACTCCACAAAGGGGGCAGTAAAGCAACAGCAAAGAACTACAGACCAATAGCACTAACATCCCATATCATAAAAGTCTTTGAAAGGGTCCTAAGAAGCAAGATCACCACCCATCTAGAAACCCATCAGTTACACAACCCAGGGCAACATGGGTTTAGAACAGGTCGCTCCTGTCTGTCTCAACTATTGGATCACTACGACAAGGTCCTAAATGCACTAGAAGACAAAAAGAATGCAGATGTAATATATACAGACTTTGCAAAAGCCTTCGACAAGTGTGACCATGGCGTAATAGCGCACAAAATGCGTGCTAAAGGAATAACAGGAAAAGTCGGTCGATGGATCTATAATTTCCTCACTAACAGAACACAGAGAGTAGTCGTCAACAGAGTAAAGTCCGAGGCAGCTACAGTGAAAAGCTCTGTTCCACAAGGCACAGTACTCGCTCCCATCTTGTTCCTCATCCTCATATCCGACATAGACAAGGATGTCAGCCACAGCACCGTATCTTCCTTTGCAGATGACACCCGAATCTGCATGACAGTGTCTTCCATTGCAGACACTGCAAGGCTCCAGGCGGACATCAACCAAATCTTTCAGTGGGCTGCAGAAAACAATATGAAGTTCAACGATGAGAAATTTCAATTACTCAGATATGGTAAACATGAGGAAATTAAATCTTCATCAGAGTACAAAACAAATTCTGGCCACAAAATAGAGCGAAACACCAACGTCAAAGACCTGGGAGTGATTATGTCGGAGGATCTCACCTTCAAGGACCATAACATTGTATCAATCGCATCTGCTAGAAAAATGACAGGATGGATAATGAGAACCTTCAAAACTAGGGAGGCCAAGCCCATGATGACACTCTTCAGGTCACTTGTTCTATCTAGGCTGGAATATTGCTGCACACTAACAGCACCTTTCAAGGCAGGTGAAATTGCCGACCTAGAAAATGTACAGAGAACTTTCACGGCGCGCATAACGGAGATAAAACACCTCAATTACTGGGAGCGCTTGAGGTTCCTAAACCTGTATTCCCTGGAACGCAGGAGGGAGAGATACATGATTATATACACCTGGAAAATCCTAGAGGGACTAGTACCGAACTTGCACACGAAAATCACTCACTACGAAAGCAAAAGACTTGGCAGACGATGCACCATCCCCCCAATGAAAAGCAGGGGTGTCACTAGCACGTTAAGAGACCATACAATAAGTGTCAGGGGCCCGAGACTGTTCAACTGCCTTCCAGCACACATAAGGGGGATTACCAACAGACCCCTGGCAGTCTTCAAGCTGGCACTGGACAAGCACCTAAAGTCAGTTCCTGATCAGCCAGGCTGTGGCTCGTATGTTGGTTTGCGTGCAGCCAGCAGCAACAGCCTGGTTGATCAGGCGCTGATCCACCAGGAGGCCTGGTCACAGACCGGGCCGCGGGGGCGTAGAGCCCCGAAACTCTCTCCAGGTAAACTCCAGTGGTAAAAAGTTAAAGTCAATCAGACGAGTGATTCTCCAGTTATGCCACAGATTCCACTGATTCCAAGTTTTTAACAATTTTATATTATATTGGCAAATTTGCCCACACACAAACAAGACTTAATGGATATTATCACAATCATCAGATTCATCAGCCATTAAATATTGAGGCCATTCAGAAGAGGTAAACTGAAATTTATCAAAAGTAATATACAATGGAAATAAAAGTTTCACATTACTGTATACATAAAATGGACAAATCTGCAACTATGTGCTTGAATTTCATTCTCCACTGTCACTGAATAATGACACACTGCTTCATTTTATCTCTTAATATTAAATTATATTAAATTTTTATTTCTCTGCGTAATATACAATATGTGATTTACATGTTATAAAATATTGATAAGTAGAGAGAATGCCACTACTTAAAACTAGACATAGCATAGTAACATAATGTGAACACATTCAATGTTTTAATGGTTGTGAGGATAACAGATATTAAGAATACAATTATGTGCTGCTAAGGGGCTCTAGAAGTTATTAGGGGCATTCCAGAATGCTGAATATACAGTGAACAGTACAATACAACATTTATTTTATTTATTTTTTTCAACAAGTCGGCTGTCTGCCACTGAGGCAGGGTGACCAAAAAACAAAAAATCTCCTAAAAGAAAATACTTTCATCATCATTCAACACTTTCACCTCACTCATACATAATCACTGTCTTTGCAGTGGGGCTCGGATACGACAGTTTAGAAGTTCCTCCAAACTGTCAATATCCCAAACTCCTATATTAAAGTGCAGGCACTGTACTTCCCATTTCCAGGACTCAAGTCCGGTTAACTGGGATTACCCTACTCACACTCCAACAGCTTGTTAGGTCCTAAAAACCATTCGTCTCCATTCACTATCTAACACACTCACACACGCTTGCTGGAAGTCCAAGCCCCTTGCCCACAAAACCTCCTTTACCCCTTCCCTCCAACCTTTTCGAGGATGACCCCTACCCCTCCTTCCTTTCCCTACAGATTTATACACTCTCCAAGCCATTCTACTTTGATCCATTCTCTCTAAATGACCAAACCACCTCAACAACTCCTCTTCAGCCCTCTAATACTTTTAGTAACTCCACACCTCCTAATTTCCACACTCCGAATTCTCTGCATAATATTTACACCACACATTGCCCTTAGACAGGACATCTCCACTGCTTCCAGCTGCCTCCTCGCTGCAGCATTTACAACTCAAGCTTCACACCCATATAAGAGTGTTGGTACCACTATACTTTCATACATTCCCTTCTTTGCCTCCACAGATAATGTTTTTTTGTCTCCACAGATACCTCAATGCACCACTCATTTTTTCCTTTATCAATTCTATGGTTAACTTCATCCTTCATAAACCAATCCACTGACACGTCAACTCCCAAATATCTGAAAACATTCGCTTCTTCCATACTCCCTCTCTCCAATGTGATATCCAATTTTCTTTATCTCAATCATTTGATAGCCTCATCACCTTACTCTTATCTATGTTCACTTTCAACTTTCTACCTATACAAACCCTCCTAAACTTGTCCACTAACCTTTGCAACTTTTCTTTAGAATCTCCCATAAGCACAGTATCATCAGCAAAAAGTAATTATGTCAACTTCCATAATTCAATCCCATCCCTCTCCTCAACACCCTAGCATTTGCTTCTTTTACAACCCCAACTATAAATATATTAAACAATGATGATGACATTACACATACCTGTCTAAGACCTACTTTTACCAGGAAGTAATCTCCCTCTCTCCTACATACCCTAACCTGAGCCTCACTCTAATTGCCAGGCATAATGAGGGCAAATTCCTAGGCCTATACCTCGACAACAACCTGAATTTCAGCACCCATATCCAACACATAACAAAAAAAGTATCCAAAACAGCTGGGATCCTCTCCAAGATATGATACTACATGCTGCAAAATGCCCTTCTCACACTATACCATTCACTCATTTATCCGTACC